TATAATATTTTATTTTAATATGATTTGTATTTTAAAATTTGTATTTAACATTAATATATTGTATTTTAAAATGATTTATCTTTGTTTAATATATTAATTCAGCATACGATTAATAATTATTAATATACTTTGTAAAAAATATTCAACAAATTAAAATATTTATAAATTCAAATAATTCATCCAATTTTAAAGTTGATAAATTAGAATGAAAAATAGATTTTTTAAATATTTATTCTATAAATTACTATATTTTATTAGTTTGAAGTTAGATATATATATTCCTGGCTTATAAAAGATACCTAAGTTTTCATAAAATTTTATATATATTAACCTAGTACTTCTTGCTTAATTTGAGTGTTCAGAAGCAAGAAACGATTAAGTTTTTCTTAATCCTTTCTTAATTTATTAAGTAGGAAATAACATTTAGTGCAGAATAAGCAGAATAAGTAAGGACAAGAATAAATCGGAAATTGACAATTCTTTTATGGCGGAAGTTTGATAATGTGAATACATATACTTGTTCGGTCCATACCTTGCTATTTCCGTAAGGAAAGAACCGCATCATTGTGAGAACACGAATTTAACGATGACGGAATGTATACGAAAATACTGCAACGAATTGCAGTAATACAGCTTATTTTAGCATATATTACATCCGAACACAGGGATCATAAATAGAAATAAAATCGCTGATCAAAAATTCGTCGTTTTTGTGGAGTTCTAACAGAACTATGGTAAAATGAATGGGTTTTATGCCAACTTCTGCGGTCATAAAGGATAGAGGTATGAAAGAGAGAGGGAAAAGGGGAAGATAAAGTTGCAGGCGGTCTTCTGACACACATAGACTCGTTAACATAACGACGTAATGGCTAATTTAGCGATAATGAATGTGAACTGTATCATTCAAATTAGCATTGAAGGTGAGACAGGCCGTCCGATGAATGCTTCGCACCATACAACTTAAAGAAACGAAATAACTAGCTACGAGATAACTGTGGCTTGTATTAATGTTTCTGCTACTACTGGCAATGTTTCTATTCGTCTATTTTGGAAAAATGCGTCAAACATCTAGTACTTAGTCAAATTGATTCACTATATTTCTTTTCTCATTGGCAATTTCTAAATCAAAATATGTAATTCAATCCATGGTCAATATTTTTTCAATGCAGTGAATAAAGAAAAATTATAAAATTTAAACCATTTGCTTGTTATATATACTCTTAAGCAATAATCATCTTTCATTTTAATTTTTATCTATATCTCATAGATATCACCTTTATCTATTTTGATATATAATAAAATAATCATATAAAAAGTTTAATATATAATTTTTTATAAGTCAGAATGAAGTAATCAATTTGACGATACTTTTTATAAAATGAGAAACAATATATCCGCTCATCTAAAGTGAGCTTTCGCTGATAAAAATATTTATTTTATGTTAATTGTCGCTCGTATTAATGCTCATTTTCACTGATATCAGATGATACCACCGATAGCACCGAATAGTGAACCAAATAATTGATAGTAAATAAAGCAAGAAAAATAGATCTGTGAAGCCAAGGAAAATTTTAATTTTTCATTAATATTGTACTACACGTTGTTCCGGATTTCATATGTATATTAAGAAAATAGAAAAGAGGTCATACGATCTGATTAATAAAACTGATGCACTAATGAAAAAAAATTAATAAATATAAGAAGATCCTGCTTCCGAATTGATATACCTAGAACACACCCAGTGGCCTTCTGTATAGATCATGAAAAAATGAAAACTAAGTGAATCGGTAGTCCAATAACTTCCAAAAAAAAACGTGCAACTTGGAATGAGGAGACCTGTTCTTAAGTAACCAATAATGAATAACAATAAAAAACATATTCACGTTATTATCTAAATTGATTTTAAGATACTACGAGGCAAAAGTTCGAAATGAATTACGTCGGGCCACGCCTGTAAACTTAACGCGAAAGTCTTCAGTGGCGTTATCTCACGACGAAGCACCGAGACTTGCAACGCTAATACATATCAGGGAAGTATCAACGTTACCGGATGCCCCGCATTACCGCCGATATTTTGTCGTCCCTTAAACTCGTAATAATGTCTCCTGAAGTACAGCCTCTTGAATACTGTAGAACTGTCGATGTGACCATTTAAACAATTATAGTTTTGGATACGGGAAATTAATTGATTTTTTTACTATTTTATTATTGGCTTGTCAAGAGACACTTTATAGAATACATACTATCAGTAATTTCATTTATTATTTTATCCAGGTTAAAATATTTTGCTACGTAATAAAGCGTAAAAACAGTTGCTTAATTTTATGTCCATTGAAGAGTTACACTTGTAGTAAAGAGATTTTTTATTTATTGATTTTTGTAATTATTATTTCTTTAACACAATTGGTAATTTAGAATGAAAAATTTCAGAGTGAGACAATTATTGTATCAATGAATTTTATAATTCCTACTGGTGAATGTTTTTCAAGAATTATTTCTTCTAGTTTGATAATTGATTAGTTAGATTTATTATTAATTTATTACTATTATCAGATAATTGATTGATTAGTTTGATCATTTTTTTACTACACTTTTAATCTGTATTATGCTAACTGCAATAATTTTTTTAATATTTAATAATCTTATTATTTAATAATTGCATAGCTTATTAATATTGACAACGATTTAATGCAGTTATATTTGTGTAAATAAAACTCTTTATAAAAATGATCTTATATTTATTATACAAGTAGTAAAGAATGTACAATTTACTATGAATGTACATTTTACTATAAATATTAAAAAAAAAAATTCGTTAAAAGTTGGTAAAGCTATTTTCTATATGGTACTGTTCATTTATAGATGGAACGAATTTGTTGTGGTTTATAATAAGAATGTAGATTATTTATAATCAATGCAGGTTTTCTGAAAAAATATTATCTACAATACTATAATGACAATCCATATAAATACATAATTTTTGGCATCGTTATTGTTAGTGTTTATATCGATTATGAATTTCTTTGCAAACAAATGTAATTATACAAGAGATACTACAGTGAAATTTTTACTTGTACAAATTAAGCAGATAACATATACAATAAATTAATTTATGAACTCTTCCAATCTTAATTTATTTACTTATTAATATTATACTGTTTAAGATCATAAGTTACTAGCATTATTCATATGAAACCAATCTGTGCATTTTCTATACACGAATAAATCAAGATTTTCGATTTACAAAGTTGAATGTTACAAATATAGTAATAATATATTATTAAAGGCATGCAATATTTAGTAATAAAATAAAATCCTGATAATCTGATTTAATATAAATCAATAATTATTTTTATTTTCTCTTATATTCTTAAAAACTCACAAAGGACAGTAAAAATGAATTAATATTATAAATAACTAATACGTAATGAAAAATAATAATATTAATTAATGTTGAACTTCGTATAAAATTTAGCAACTAATAATATATTGTAACAGAAAATTAATTTTATTTTAATTCAAATAAATATGAATACAAAAGAAATATATTTATAACATGTGCTTATCAACTGAATGGTGAATTACATTTCAAATATAATTTATTTATACAGGAAAATAATTAATTGCACAAAATACGTGTATGTATTGCACCCTTTTAAAAAATCACCATCAATATTATTTTGATTAAATAATTTGGAAACAATGCCTTAATTATCCTAAACATTAAAAGAGCAGGTGGTCAATGCATTGGTTAGTTTAAACAGAAGCAATTTAAACATATACAACACTTTTTTAGATTCCGATTACCGAATTCTTCAATAAATACAATCAATTATTAACGATTTTTAGACGGTCAGTAAAATCACTTATAATATATATATTTATGAACATATAAACATACTATTTTCTAATTAAAGAATTTCTAATTAAAAAATATATTCATTATACATCATTATTAGATATTTTTTAATCTAGGTGTTCAATGATAAGAAATTAATCACAGATAATTTAAGATAATTAATAATTAATTTATTAAAATAATTAATATATTTTATATTATTAAAACCAAATTCCAATAATAATTTGGGTGTTTATTCATTATAAATATTTAAACAATTAAAGAGTAAATATTTGAAATAAGACATTATATTTTTAAAAATAATATTAAAATTAGAAAAAACACATCTGTTAGCCATATCTAAAATTACATTTACAATTTTTTTATATAAATTATTATATCAATTTGTAATTAAACCATAATTGAAAAAAGGGTTAAAGAAGGATTGAACTGCAACCGTTGATAAAACGGTTTGCTTTAATTACGAAACTAATGCAAATGCATAAAGCTTTGAATTGGATATTATTTAATGTTCAGCTTTAAACAAAAAACTGCCCCAAACGTTTTATAAACGTAAATTTGATTAATATATTCTTCTTCATTGTATCACTCTTTTTCAAATCAACAATGGAATTTCCATAATACCCGATTATATATAAACACGAATTGGAAAACATATACTTTGATTTGCAAATTTTCTAAATCTGAAAATTGTTCCATGAATTGTTTTACGGACAATAATTAATATAATTAATTATTCATAGCCATTTTCGAGACAGAGAAAAAACGAAAACGAAAACATCAACAACCTAAGGGTACAGATATGATGTAACGTCCCTTTACCTAAACATAACAGCACCTACGCAGCAGATAGAATTTGTAAGCTTCTATAATATTCGACTCTGAAAAACAGAGTCGGGCCTATCGGGATTGCGTCCTGTGTCACTCAGAGCAGCCGCAACCGAAAAAGACAAGTGGGGCCATAGATCAGGGTGTGGTTGACAGCTGACAAGTAACAATTTCTATTACAAGAAGATCACGGATTATAATGATTGAAAGAGATAAAGGGAGACTCTACTACGCTTTGAAGTATTAAATGTAGCTGTAATGTATCGCTGTTTAGTGTATTTATATAAAGAGGTTCGGCGTCGCGTGTACTCACGTCGCTGTTATTTGACTTGGACGCCATCTTGACAACAGCGATGACTGTTGAATCACCTGTGGCGGTCTCTTGCCGGTACCCTTGATTTGGAGCTCGAATTTAAGCTCGGGAATAGTGCGAGCCGATCCACCTCAATCTCAAACGGAATCTTCTTCGACTCACGTTGTCTTTAGTTACTGCAACTGAGTTAACCTTAAAAGTGTAGAAGATTACACTGACACGCACAGTTCACAATATAAACAAAAACACGCTGTTGGTACTTAAGCTTATTGTTTCCTCTCTTAAACAATTAGAGTTTCCTCAGGAATACTGCAACGACAAATGTCGCTTTACTCGAACTAGAAAGTAGACCCACACAAATGCGTACGAGAGCGCAGCGATACTATGTCACATCTCTTCCATCTTTTTCTTGTAGTAGGCACAAGGTAGAGGAGTCTATATCTATCTCTTTTCTCACGCGCCCTCTTTCTCTCTGTGAAGCATATGTTGCGTGAAATCCACGGGCCAGGTTCACGCGCATTCATCCCCACCTACGGCCCCCTCGTGTCTACGGTTTGTTCTACCTCCCTCTCTCAGCCATTCCTATAAAGGCACAATAATCTAGGGTTATGAGATCGTAATGAAAAAAATCATGTTAACAAATGTAGGTGAACACAATTAATATTGTGCTAGACACTGGAATCATTGAGAGTTTAAAGCGTAAGAAAGAGAAGGAGCAACTAGGGATCCTTGCACAAGTACTTGTTACTTAGCTTATCTTGCTTTTGCACACTGTGTAAATACGTGCAGGCGTGTGAGGGTCGGTAACGACATACAATAATGGAGTTAGTGAAAGAATAAGGGCGTGGTGTTCACCTGTAAACACCTTCGTTTTGACTTCACGAAATTTGCTGTAGGCTTTGCAAGGATGGAAAGTCAAGAAAGCAGCCGAATCATGAACAATTACAAAGACTAATTGTTATAAAAAAACACTATGTTAAACCAAGTAAATCTAGGTTAAACATAAAAAAATTGTTCACGTGCATTATTTATTGTATTAACGTATAAACGTAGTAAATTAACCAGGGTACCTTTACTTTTTAAATTTTAAAATTTAGAAAAAAGTTCAATACATTTTATCTAATAGATTCGCAGCTTAAAATTTACTTATATATTTCACCAGAGAATAAAAATATTATTAATTTATGAATAAATCATTTTCCAAATAATATTTTTATTTTTACTTTACATGCTCGCCAAATATATCCTTTACATTTACGGCAATTCAATAAAACATAAATTTTAAGTCGTTATAATATTAATTCTAAATTAATGTTAAACCATTTAAGTATATTAAACTAAAAATGTTTTGGAACTGTTTATACATACTTATGTAACAAAAATTTATTTCTAAATAAAACTATTCTTGCACTACTTACCACAGTATACAATCCAAATAGAATCTCTTCACTTTCATGCGCGCTTTGAAAGCATTAAATAAATTAGAGTTAAAAACTTATTAAGGAATGATGTCATATAAAGAAACGTATATTCCATGATAAGTCATCAAGATATAATTATATAATAAACCACTTCCTTAAAATTTATTTCTTTAAATATTAAATAATACAGACACAAAGATGACAATATTAAATATTTAGATTGTTTTTAAGTCTGTAATCTTATTAATAATAAATTATATTAATTCAAGCTATTATAAGAAATTTTTATGAAAAAAATTAGTCATACATTGCTATACAAGTTTACTTATTTAATTTATTCATGTCTTCAAAAACTAAAATAAGGGAAAACATTATTATTATATAATAATCTTTAAATTAAAATTAATTAATCTACTTTAAACTAATTTTCATATTCTAGGAATAAAAATTTTGAGAACAATTAAAATTTTTATTTTTATTTAAGCTTCTTCTGTATTACATATAAATTGAAAGTTTAGAAAAAAATATATTTTTATAATTTTTCACTAATAACAAAATTTTTACTTTATTATTTTAAGGGAATTGTATAATGTAGATTTTACATGAAAAAGATTATGATTTAGATTATGAAAACAGGTAAAATCTATTAAAAATAATGTTATCGTTACAAAATTACTAATGTAATTTTATCGTTAAAAAAAGTGTATATATCAGTAAAATATAATCAGCTCTAGAATAATTTCATTCTCAATTGACTTATTATTCATCAAATTTCAGTACCTAAGTTCTTAAATATCATTTCAAATATAACCAATAAAACTTTGAATTATACTTTATAACATATAAATTATATTTCCTTAAAAAAAATTTATATTTTATTAAAATAATTAAATTTTAAATAAATTTTAAATAATTAAATTAAATCAGAAAAATACACTTTTATTTTAGAAATAGAAAAAGCATAAATCATAATTGTTATTATATTGCGTTGTAACTGAATGAGATAATATTTATATATATAAATATAGAAAATAAATATACTGTAAGGATATAGATATTGTAATAAAATTTGTTATATGAAAATATATGAATTTTTTTAAATAATATTTTCAAACAATGTATTTCTTTAGTTACGATATAAACAATGAAAGTTTAACGGGATGAAGATAATTTTATATTTCTACTATATTTATTAATTCTATCACTTATCGTATTATATAAGAATATACTTTCCGAAATTTTATATAGAATTTAAAAAAAAAATTTAACGGAATTGAATAATAATATTCAAAATTAATTCATAAGCAAAGGAATTTTATTCGAAGTGATCTTGATCGTTTTATATATTTTTAATATAATATATAATAAAATCTATTGTATCATATATATATATATATATATATATATATATATATATATATATATATATATAACTTTTCCAATGTTAAATTTATGTCAAAATTAAGACATTTTAAAACATTGTTATAAATATTAATAAATAAATTTAATTTATATTAAATTATTATAATATTAATATAACATATATATAACAAATTTTTTAAATATAGAAATTTAATATTTAAATTAGTATAGTTTTTAAATGACATGCAAAAAGGTGTAATATAAATATTATTTTTTTAATCATATTATTATTAAAAGCTATTATTATTATTTATTGTAAATTTTAATTTATTTTTATGTATATATTAAATTACATATTAAAATTATCAGAGTACACTCAATATTATCCAACTTCTTTAGCACTTTTGTTTTCTTCTATTTCTTCTATTTTCTCAGTTGTTTTTAATTATACATAATATTTGCATTTGTTAAAGTATATGCTAATGGAAAATGCTTCATATAATATAAATTACTTGATATAAATGTTATACATATTTTTAATCTTTATTATAAATGATATATTATATATAATTATAAATTATAAACAAATTTTAGAATAATTATAATGTAATAAGTACTAAAATTTTTATTATTTTATAGGAATTCTTTATTAATATATTTTTATCATACATAATCATATAAAATTAATAAGATATAACGTGTAAATAATATTTTATTGCATTTGATAATATTAAGAATAATAATTTTCAATAATTGTAAGTTTCAAATGTTTTGACAAAATAATTTTAAGAATGTAGAAAAGAAATTCGAGTAATAGGCATTGTATTTATATTTGTGTATATATATATACATATAATATACATAAAAAAAACTGTTCAAATAATTTTAGCGTGGGTTAATATTAAATTAAATATTAAATATTAACCAATTAATATTAAAACTTCAAAGTACATTTTTTGGAATTTTCAAGAAATATATTCTGTATATTCTATATATTCTATATTATATTGATAATTTTGATAATATACTATATAATAAATGTTTCTATTTTAGATTTATTATCAACAAATGTTGTTTCATCGAAATTAGTTGAGTTCACTTTGAATGTCACATCACTTCAAAATATAATCTCAACTTTAATGTATAAAAAATGCTATTAATTAATATTTATGTAAATTTAATTCTAAAATTAAATTTTTAGGAAGTATAATTTTAGAGTAATTAAATAACAATTCTTGGCAATCACTAATATTTGTTCATTATTATATATATTATTAGAGTTATGTAACATCTTAAATAGGAACTTGTATCATGTGGTGTGAAATTTTTCTGCCTTATTGTGCAATTAAGTATAAGTAAAATAAAATTCAATTGTTTATTGTTTTTTTTTCATTTAGCGTTCGATGCAAAATTTTTTTATAATACACTCAATCTTATTTGATGTCAATAAGGTAGTATATATATTAATAGATAAACCTTCGGTTTTGTGATATGTATAGTGTGCTTCAGCGTGACAATTTTAGATTATTTACGGAATAAGATATGATGATATGTTAATTACGGAAATGATCTTCTCCATAAAAAGTCGACAGCATACTAATTTCATGTTATATCGATGTAATTTCAATTGTAATTTCATCGATGCCCTTTATTTTAAAAATCTACAATACCGAAGGGAAGTTCGCTACAATCCATACAACCGAATATGTTGCGACATGATAAATCGTGTAGTGAACTCGCAAGAATAATTGGGGAGCTATCCGTTGAGACTTTTTATTGAAAAATTAGCGCGATATTGACACTTTATTTGATTCACTGGGTTTCATATTTTTTGTCAAAATCAACTAAAAAGCCGTCCTTGAAAAAGAATTCATCTAGAAATTAATTTGAAAACAAGAAGACAAGAAAAAGAGATATAAGAAAAGAAACTGATGGACTATGGTGAAGTCTGTCCGTTTATTTGTCGGCAACTCGTGCAGCGAGCTTAAAGCATACGACAACGCTATCCTTGTCATCTAGGAAAGCAAACTCGATGGTAAGTGGTATTTTAGGATAAGCCTTAAGTACTGGCATGCTCAGTTGATAAGTAACGTTTTCCCCGGCGTCCAGAGGGCACTTTGCGTTCTTCAGGCTGATGCAGGCATTCTTTTGAGGGAAGGGGTAATTGACAGTTGCACCCATGACCGTTGCGCGAACCCGTGGTTTCAGCACTTTCGTGTCTTCGTCTATTACAAACAATACAACAGCACATTGTTAGGACTTCATTAGAACCTAGTAATTAACTTCCTTATAATAAAATCTTTATGTTTACAATGATTGTGAATACTTTTATTTTTCAACCAATGCAATTCCAATAATTTCCTGACTTGAATTTTTGTAATAACTAAAACAATTTTTATAGTATGTGCATACTATTAGCTAATAACAAGCTTAATGATACTAACCAATAAAAATACAATGTTAATATTTCATATAGCGCTAATAATGAAAAATTCGCGTTGCAGGTACAACAAAAATACGTAATATGTGAGCACATTCGCGTATGTCGGAAGTATGCTATCGAACAACAATGCATAGAGAAGAAAATATACATGAATCAGGTTCATTGATAACAATAAATACAAGTGATTTTGCAGCGCGAACAATGTGAAAATAAAGAAACTCCGGCCAAAAATACCGCACTATAAATTAATCCGAGGCGAACGAACTAAAAAAAATGTGGGTTCGTTACTTACTCACGATGAAGTCCCACTCGGCAGTAGCGTTGGTGCCTCGATAAAGTGTGCAGGGATTCTTGGTACACCCATCGACCCGAACATCTGAAGGAGCAGCCCCCTCCGAGCATGTTTTAAAAGGTGTCGATTGAGTCGATGTCACGAGGAAAGCGGCAAGGATGAAGCCTTTAATTAAGAGCATTGTCCTTGTTAGTCCTCTGAGATGTGTTTGAGGATGAGAACGAGAGCGACAAAGACAGAGAAATGTGGATTTGCTAGCACGAGTAGACCTTATTCAATTTAACGGTATGTTGAAACGTGATGTCGAGAGCAAATGGATGATTTTTGTACACTGACAATACTTTTAAAATTTAGTGACTCAGAAGTGCTGCGTTCAATGGTAAAAATGAAAGAGAGAGAGAGAGAGAGAGAGAGAGAGAGAATCATCTGAATTCTATCTGTTCTATTAAACTTCTTTATTTCACTCTCATTCTTGTTCCTATTGTCGTCTTCTTAAACTGCTTATCTTATATCATACCGATAATATACATATAATATATTTCTATAAGTATAATTAATATAACTAAAATTTTATATATTTATGGTTAATTTTTTTAATTTACTGTTTTTTAGTTACACTTAGGTATACATGGTTGTATGTAAATGTTAATTTAACTGCGTATTTATTATTATCATTACCTGTATAATATTTCTTTTTATAAATAATATTTTTATAAGAAAAAACAAACTATTAAGGAAAGAATTTACTTTGTAACAATGATATAAATAATATAATGTTATCTATCATGTTCAGTCGATTAAGATGTATAGAAGAATGTAATGATTAATTCACAAATTTATTGAATTTCCTTATATTTATTTTTATATATTGCTTAATAATTATTACATCATAATTTTTGTAGAAATTAACTTGAAATATAATTTATTTTAATTTAATCATATATCTAATAATTATGGTATATATGATGTTATTTTTTTGCTCCTTTACTATAGTAATCGGTGTATCACTTTATCAACAAAATTTAAAATAAAATTTAATTTTAAAATAATTTTTAATTTATTTAAAATAAAATTTTACATTCATTTGAAAAAACCAAATTACATTGAATGTTTCAAATTCTTAATGCGTGACATCAATTTTTTTAAATTTATGATTTAAATTAATTTCCTCTTCTAATTATTTATGGATTAACCTCTTTATTTAATTTATAGAGTAAAATAATGTTATTATAAATAAAGATAAAATAATTTAGTTTAAATTTTTATTTCAGTAATTTTTGTATTTAGAAATTTCTATTAATATAATCATAGTTAATCAATAATATTGATTATACATCGAAATTTTCATCGATACATTATTTTTATGTGTTTTAGCGTGAATTTTAAAATATGCTTTTCGCCTTCATAATTTTCTAATGAAAATAAACTTTATAAACTTCTATTAGAATCATTATATCACATATTTAAAAATAACTTTTAATTACATGATTGCATAAAATGTTTAAAAATTAACAAACTTCATCATTGGCTACTGAAAAATTTTGGCTACTTTCTAAGAAAAAATTTTAAATTATTTTCAGCTTAGATAATAATACACTTTTATTGTATTACGTATACAATACTGCAAAGCAGACAAAAATTGGTAATCATTTAATTTTCTATACTATTTTTATATAAATCTATAGATTTTATAAGATATTTCAGAAATGCATTTATTTATTATTAATAATTTCTTATATTTTATTATAATTCAACATTACGAAGTAAGTATGAAATATTAATAAAAAATTTATTTAATCTAAGAAGTTTTATTCGATAAGTAACAAAAATAACAATAATGAAATTTATATTTATACATATCAAATTAATGTACAGCTCATTATCTTGTATGTATATAAAAAATAATATGATTATATAGTACGTTATATTTTTTTTAAATATTGTGTATAAGTAAAGCAGTATTTTAGCTCAATGATATATTTATAAAAATCTTTAGATACTAAAATTTGATTTCTGTTTTTATTTATAAAATTTTATAATAAAAAAATATATAATTATATTATAATATATAATTTAGTTATAAAAGGAAGAAATATTAATTTTTGGCAGTTCAATTTGTGATATTTCTGAATTTTTATCAAAATTTAAATGTTATCGATATAATTTTCTTGTATAGTAAATATGAATATTGTTATTAATGCTCCATAGTAACAATTCACTTGTATTAAATTTAAGAATATGTAATTAATTTTTAATAAAAACTGATATTTGTAGTAATAATAAAAATGATACTGGTTAAAAAAACATTATTGAAAATTATAATATATAAATAAAGTTTATCAAATAAATGTATATAATAATAAATTATACTGAACCTAAACAGCACAATGGCTATATTCGATTGCATGAAGTAACAGATAATCTTGATTTCTTTGAATCTTCGTTTTTATTTTAATTCAAATTATTTCATCATAAAAATAAAATTTCTATTTTAACATAATTAAATACTAGGAAACTAATAGATTTTTTTTAGTCAATTTATAGGTTAATATAATATAAGTATAATCGAATGATCATTATAATAACTTTACCTGCAATATACAGTAAAAATGAAATAAAATTGTAAAGTAATATTTTAAGGAAAATGAAAAGTATAAATGAAGGAAAAGCTAAGACTAAGTTTAAGTTAATAAACTCAATATGACGTAGTTTTATATTGATGTATTCTATCATTGTTATACACTTAATAAATTAACTGTCAATAAACAAAAAGTATTTAAAGAATTAATAAATAAAATGCAGTTTACCGTGAACGAAGTTCATTATTTCCAAAATTATATTTTCTTGAGCTTCTAGGTAAGGTACTATCGATGAGATTGTTATAAATTCTGGTTGATTTCTACCAAGTTGAACAGCCTTACCAGTCTTTTTAAGATATTACTGTATCTAATCACACATACTTGACTGGGACGATAATATTCTTTCAACTATCAGTTTATCGAGAGGTATACAATTAAGCGCACATTATCAATAACATGAAAACAATTATATTACATTTTCCACTTTTTCTTGTTTCTATTTATATTTCCAGATTGTCTACAGGAAATACCATGCTTCTACAATAATTATGGCTATTCATAGTTGTATTATTATTAAACAGTAATTTTTAATAAGACAAATGCTTAAAATTAATTTTGATTTCATACATTAAACATCAGAGCATTAAAAATGTTTTGTATAAGAAAAGAAAATCAGACGATTTAAAGAAGTGTTAAAATAAAAAATGTTTTAATAAGTTTATAATTAAAGATTTTATAAACTAGAATATATTTCTATACGAAAAAAATTATTTGGCTTTGTAAGAAAACTTATTCAAATAACGTAAATATACTCTTGATAAAAACGATTTACAGCATTTTTATAAATTAAGATAGTAGCTTTCAAAGTGTAAGGAAAAATAAATAAAAGTAAAATTCGTCTTCTTTTATATTTTATATTAATACAAAATAATATATAATTTATTTATTTATGATGCTTATTAAATAAAAATTTCTTATGTACGCATTAAAATATACAACCGAATATATCAAAATATTTTTTGAAATATAATTTACTCTAAAAACAAATTATGCTTTGCTCTGAAGAATACAGATATTATCATTCGTTTTTATCGTATAATTGCGGACGTGATAAATATAATATTAATTTAAGGAATTGAATTTACATGGTCGCTACCGTGATCTACGACTTTTGATTCTTTAATGCCGCTATAAGTTTTTGGAATTTCTTCACTTTAACAATAAAGGTTATAAACAAAGAGCGAGTTTTGCCACTCTCAAATATTTAAAATTTTAAGACAATTTTATATAAGTTTATTCGCATACCTACAATATCTAAACCCATAATACATTGATTTCTTCTTCACAAATGATAAGTGTATATCATTTCGTATATTATGATACAAATAAGTAATTGCACAGAGCCGTAACAAAAAAGTAGGTTACGCTAGTATACATGATAATGTTAAAATTTTCGTTAAATAGATCAAACCCCTAAATTTATGATACACGTTACGTGTTTATATCAATAATAATTTGTCATCCTTGTAAAGTATTGTAAAGAATGACTGGACTTAGTAGAAATTAGGTCTTATATATAACTCACATTTTATGTACTGCACATAAACGAGCGTTCTTATTAATATATTCATTTGTGCTTGTGATTCTCTTTTTCATTATCGTTGTGATGAGCTAACGGGAATTGATTGCAAACACTCCATTTCGGCATCTGCATGAATCTTTCAACGAGCCAATCTCTAGCACGTGTTGGCATTATACGAAAGAGCGTGTGATAAAATGTGTAGCGCCACGGTTCACACCTGTATAAATAAAATTATGTAGTATATCTAAGTATGTACTTGTTCCAATAATTATATCTCAAATTCAAAGATAATAAAATAATTTAAACATAAGTGATTAATAATTATTATGCAATATTATAAATTATAATTTATGTATTAAAAGTTGTAATTGTTTTTATTGTTTAATAAAATTATCTTTTGAATGAAATTATTTTGTGAATAAATTGAAATATTATAAGGCAAAATTTTAGCCTAATAATAAATATTATATCTAAATTTAACTTAAATTTTATTATAATTAGAAATTATATAGTTTGAATTTTTTAATATTTATAATAAATATTAAAAAATATGTATGCGTGTATATAGATGTGTGTATAATTAAATATTAGCATAATTATTTTAATCAATTAAAAAAACTAGATGTAAATAAACATAACTTATGAAAAGAGTATGAAATAAATAAATATTCAAATAAGGAATTTAAATAAATATCTCAAGCTTTATGAGAAATTAGTATAATACCTAATTAAAAACTAAACAAATAAAATTTAATACAATCATAGTTTAATCGTTAATGAATGAAAATTTAATTATAATAAATTTAATAATTTATTAGCAAGATACTAACTTGTAAAAAGCCGACGGATTCTTGTCGAGCAATGCACCATCAAAAGCCTCATATAACTTCGGATTATCGATACACCCAAGTCTGGTTACTGTGGATAGAGTTGTCAAATATTCAACATACTTCTCGAAGTAATTGCCATAAAAGCATTTCGTATTGTCGTTCATTCCAGCACGCATATCATCAAAGCTTTTCTTCTGCCGAACCAAAATGTTGCTCTCTTTAATAAATGAACCTGATAACAGTGTAACAAACCCATTAAAAGATCAAACCCTTTTAGGTTTTATAACATTTTATATTTATAACACATATTATAACATAGATTCAACATAGATAAAATTGAATGCACGCATCAGGAATATTTTATACTTAAAAAGAAGTATCTTGAACATAAAAAAATCTTTTCAATAAAATAGAAATTTTCTTTTAACAACTAGGAATTGTATTTAACTTTATATTAAAACTCAAAATATTCCCTCTTAAAAAACTTTTAAATAATATTCCTTTTAAATATTTACTCACTATAAATCATAACAAAACTATGTAATAATAAAATTCTTAATGGCGGTGCTTTATTAAGTTAATAAACTACGAAAGTATTATTAAAATAATATTTTGTTTTAAATCGGTGGTATTTGTAATAATTAATGATCTAAATCTTTCAAACATAAAATTAAATACAAAAGATTTTTTTTTATTTTATAATAAGTGATAAGAATTTATATATTTATTCTCTAATTAATTACTTAGAGATCTCAAATTAGATATTTCAACTTTTTTTAGTAATTAATTTGAGTTAATAAATAGATATTTCAATGTTTTTAATAAGTTATCCATCTAACGAAAAATGTTGCTTCGATAATGATAATGTTACAGAATCAAGTAATACTGTTAATATTAAATTATTATCTTTCTGCACTATAAAAATAAGTGTTTAAACATTTTAAATTATATTTAAATTATTTATATTTGCATATGTGTGCGGGCGCGCGCGCGCGCGCGCGTATGTGTTTATTACCGAAGTAACAAAACAGAATTGAATTAAGTTACACTGATTATAATTTAAATAATACAAAATTTGTGAAATAATTAATACTTTAAATTTTCCTTTAATATTGTTTGTATATACCTATTGTGTATTGATTAAAATTAATCCAAGTTATATTTTATTTTAGAGTATGTATATAAAAATATTATTAAACTATTAAACTTTCAAAGATTCTTTAGAAAATCTAATTAAAAGTCTTAGAAATCATAAAAGATTTATGACATATCATTTTAAATATTCTTGGAAATTTATATAAGATTTAGTTTTATTAAAAGTTTTTATCCATTAGTTATTACACATAGTTTATACTGTATCTGATTAATATTAAGAAACAAATAAAAATTCTTATAAAACTATCAAAGAACATTTCACACATAATGTAAACACAAATTAAATTCATTGACTATTTACTTTTAAAAAATTATTTGTTTAAAATGTATTATTTCGTAAGAATATACAAAACATTTTACAATAATTTCTATTCAACATATATGAAAACCGTTTGATTTTGTAAATTAGAAAACAGTGTGCCGAAGCACACCCAAGATTTTATGTAATATCAAACTTCCTTATGGAAGAGCTCAATTATGTCAGAAACAGACCGGGTATAAAGGAGACTACGCTGACGCCGTACTTGTTGACTTCGAGCCGCAGCGAAGTCGACCAGGCTTCGAGGGCAGCTTTAGTCGCTCCATAGACAGCAAGCCCTGGCAGCGGTGCGAAAGCACAATGACTTGTAACATTGATGATTCTGCTCCTATGGTGACGTATCATCGGTATCAGTTGCCTTGTCACAGACATCGTGCCCAGTACGTTAACCTCTAACTGAGACTGAACTTGGCTAGCCAGTTGCCACTCGAACTCACCAAATATCATCACTCCGGCATTATTTACCAGGGCTCGAAACTCTGCAAGATGCGGTTAAGGGTTTGTACTATTTCGCTAATTCTGATGATCAATAAACGTATCCAGAATATCTACTGTGATAAATTTTTGGAACGGTAGTAGCTGGAATCGAACTTTTGATTTTATTAAATACAAGTTTTTCCGACCATTTATTTCATCCTTTTGATGATTTCAAGAAATAAAATTTATTAATTGATGTCAAGTTATAAGTAATATTTTAGATGTTTTGCTCCTTTCGTTAGTTTTATGTTTAAATTTTAAATAACTGATTAAATTTTATAGATATGTACTGCAAATTATAATTTAGATGGTTAATATTTATATGTATTTGTATTTTAGTAATTTGAAAATATTAACAAAGTTATAAGATATTATGAAAATTTGTTTGTATATTAGTAATTTACAAATGTCAAGAGGTGCGGTTACAGTAATTTTTTGTCTTAATAGATGAAATATCGGTAAGTGTAAAACATTACTAACGCCCCGGATTCTGAATAATTTTTTACTTTAATTCATTGTATATCAAAAATTCAGCTTATTAACATATTCAAAATGTACCAAGAACACATTAAAAGAACAAAGGTGTCATTTCAGTCGCTAACAAGTAAAAAATATGCCTAAAGTGTGACAAAGCGAGCAATTGAACGAAGGCAGAAAAGACAGAGAAACGAAAGCTATTCTGTCGTAAACCTGTTACCTAGATGTCTATTGTCGATGAATTTAACTAGTGACTTGCCAAATTTCTGGATGCTATGGCCATCGGTTAGGTCAAGGGGTAATACTGTGATTCCTCTGCGTGCAAGATCAAGGGCGGCCGGTCCATCTTCATGGAGAACCCCGGCCATCACTGTAGCACCATTATTCTGGCAATATACTGCCAAGCTATAACCAAGGCCCGAGTCGCAACCGGTCACCGCGATAACCTGTTTTGAGCTCAGTTGGATCCGGGACCACCAATACCTACGCACACCTGGCACACCTCCTGTGTACAAAACATACTTTCAATTTTTAGGAAAAGTATTTCGGTTTGTTCAACTTCGTCCTCTACTCTTCCTTCTGTTTCTTCTTTTTTTCATCTTTTCTATCTCTTCCTTCTTTATATGTATTGTTTCGCATCTTCATAGAATTAAGGCTGAATTTTAAACTGGGCGAACGATGATAAGCTAAGATAAGAATTTGAAATTGAATATAAATTCCTGACATAGTATGACTGTTAAAATACGAATTATTTTTGCAATCTTATTTAAATGTATTATATCTGCAAATTAAAAATACTAATAGCACGAAAAAGTAATTCCAAGATTATAAAGAATATTAATTTTGAAAATTAGAAAGGTTGATATAATGATTTTAAATAAATAAATATGATTTCAATTGAAACGATTCATCTTAAAAGTATGTTATAACTATAAGTTCTTGAAGCAGTGCAAACCTTACTATGATTGATGCATCCAGTTTATAAATTTTTATAAATTACTTAATTTATTATCAATATAAATAAATTTAAATATAGTATAAACATTTATATTAATACCTTACGAACAAATATTTTACTATGGATTTTTATTGCATTAAGAAAAGAAATAGATGTGTCAATTTAATATTTATAAATTATTCATGATTAAATTTATAATAAAAAGCTACTTCATATTTTATATTAATAATTTATTGTTAAATTTTAGTTTATTGATAAGGTATTTATATACTTTATATACAATCTTGCAAATTTTATAAGCAATGTAGGAAAATATACAATTTATTTCAATATAAAATCTAAACCTTCTCACTTATATCAAATTACCTATAGTAAGCTAAATTTCAAATCATAATTTCGTCTTAATATAAAAAATACGTTAAATAAAAGCAGTATATCAACTAATTTTTTTAATTAGAATTCTAATATATATAATAAAATGCAAACTATGCAAGAAGAGCTTATTTACTCATTTTTGCAGTTATGAAGTAGTGTTTTATCTTTATAATTTAATATCAATAAATTTTATTTCATTCGTATTAAAAAAAATATGCGCCCAATTTGAAAATGGGTTGTCGCGAAATAATGTAGAATGATAATAATTATGGAAAGAAATTGTAAAAACTATCTGAAATCAATATAAAAGGAATGCGATATTGTAATAAAGCAAACTCACCAAAAACAACTGAGGCAGTGGACGCCGAACTATAGCTCCGAAGTTCAGCGACGCGGAGTAGTAATAAGAGCCCTAGAGCCATCACCAAAGAAAGTAGTTTCTTCTCTAGACAAATAGGTAATAGGATCCAACAATTCGCGAAGTTGAGGTGTTACGGCATAGCCTTGAATAAACGACACAAGCGAATCCTGTCGAGGTTAATGCAGCTGACCTTTACGAACTCAAATTTTCTCCTCTTCCTCTGATCGCCAGTAGCGTTTTAGAGCCGTATGAACTTTCAAAAAGTAACCGAGGGTTCGAGTGGTTTCTCCCCCACTCCCTACTTCATCTCAATGAGTTAGAAGATTGCGAATGAAAAGCTTCTCTACCTTCTTTAATCTTACCAATGCCAATTTAATCCGAAATAATCATTTCGCTCAAGCACATCAATCTATCAGATCATTTGTAATTGCATACGAAATAGCTTTTCACGGGTACACTTTTTGTGCCAACTGCTTTATTACTCTTTTTATCTATGTATTCAATCATTTATTTCCTTTTTCATTAAATACAACTATAAATATAAAACAACTGTATAATGCAAACCCTCTGTTTTAATTTTGCAAATTAGAAGGCGTAAACGTAATATAACATTTTTTCCTATTCGATATTGATTTTTTTATAGAATTAATTAATTTTTTATTTTATTCAAATTTATTTGAATGACTTTTTTTATAAATATGTAAAATACAAACATTCAGCTATGTGTTATCAGTGAAGTACTATGATAATTTTGAAAATTATATCAAATTTTTTCTGAGAATATGTTGAACTTTATTGTATGTAATGAACTAACTGAACTATTTCAACTATTTCTCTTACTTCTTCACTTACTGCATTTAGAAAGTAAATTTTCCTTTTGGTAAGTGCCTTTCCAATTTTTACATAACTGCAATAAATACAAAACGGAAAAGGTAAAAATGTTAAATAAATTGTTTTGTTTCACTGTCTATCTCTTGTGTATTTTTAATACTTTTAATTAAAATTTAGTTAAAATTTAATGAATTTACATATTATCTTTATGACGAATTTGTAATTGTTATATTTTTATAGAAAATAGCTTATGAAGAAAATAAGAGATTTAAAATATAGTATATAGTAGCTGATAAATTTAAAAAATAAAATGTAAAGGTTGTATCAAATTATGCTGTAATGTTGAAAATTATAAAAAATATATCAATCCGGCACATTCTAACAATATAACTCCTTCCATATCCATAGGTTAAAGTACATTTTACTAAAATATTATAATACTGTATTATACCAAATATATTTACTATTGATAGATTCATTAAATTTGTTTCTTAAATAGTTTTTATATTTTTTTTATTGTTCATATTTATATAAATAAATGCATTATAATATATACAAATGTGTTATAGGATAACCTGTATTCATTATATGGAAAATGATAATAATTTTATATAAAATACTGTAAAACTTACCATTTCACTGTGGACTATAAATATTGATTTAAAAATTCTATTATATATTATTCATTGTTATTACTTGGTCCTTTTTATCATTTATATCAATAAATAACCATATATGTAGTCAAAAAACTATAATTATGAAATAAGAATTCGAATTGGGTATATAAAAGCAATAATTTTTTTTTTAAATTAATATATAAAACTTAATCGAAGAATATATGATTTTAAAGCTATTATAATTTTTCATTATTTTCATTAAAAATTATAATTATATTTTAAAATTCAAAATATTTTTTCATTTTAGTTTTATGTATAAACTTTTCGTCTTTATAATTATGAAAAATTAATTTTTCTAGTTTCGATAAAATTTTATTAAAAGAATTTATAAATTATATGTATAAAATGTTTAATTTGACGTTAATAATCTTAAATCCTGTCTTGTCCCGTATGAAATTAATATATTAATACAGTTATAGAATATGGATTAATCCATTTATTAATAAATTTTTATTTTCAGAAATATTGTTTTATATGCAATTTATTTCATGGTATTAAATTAAAAAATGTTAGATTTTATTATTTTATAGATATGGCATATTGTATTCATTACCATGTTATAAAAAATAAAAAATTATTATAAAATTTGAATCTTATAAATTAAGTTATCAATTTTAATTTTATACATAATTTTATTCTTTAAGTCTTTTTTGTATTAAAGTAAAAAATATTTAATGTTGTCTTATATACAAATAATTAAAGCTAAAATTATAATTAATTTAAAAAAAAATTGTTTTAATTTTTTTAATTAACTTTAAATAATACGTAAATATATATTATTTTGAATAAATATGAAGGTTGTTAATTATTATAAATCTAGACATAAATATATATATTTGATTATTTGTTAATTAAGCATAAACAAAAAATTAATAAAATGAAGAAATTACACAAATATAATATTTATCAAAAAATAAGTTAATATACATAAAAATAAATCTATCTTGTACAAATTTGTTAAGCATTCCTTTATAGTGATTGATAATGAAAATGCTAATGTATGAAAATATTTATGTATTCTTTCAAAAAGTAAATATAATATTTAGTATAACAATGATTTTAATGCAATATATATTTAGAAAGAGAATTATAAGAAACTATTATAAGTAATTATAAGAAAAAGTTTAATTCTATTAAAGAAAAATAATTTTTTACTTGTTTTTATTGTGATGAAATTCTTCATTAATATATAAAAAACTTAGAAAAAATAAATATGTAACTCAATTTCATTGCCGAGAATAATTGAATGACTAAAGTCGTTAACGCAGCTAAATTTGTAATTTATATCCAGTGTTTAAATAAAAAAGTGTTTAATAATAATATTGTACTATACATACTTATTAAAATTATCGACTAATTTTATATAATTTTGTAAATTTAATAAATATTTTTATTCTATAAATTAGACTGAAAACTGGGACTAAATTATAAACCAATTTAAAAAATCGAATTTTATATTATAAAATTAAAATAAAATTAAAACTCAAATTTTTATATTAATAAAAAATAAACAGTTTAAATAAATTAAAAAAAGTGAATTAATAATTTTTTCATTTAGTATTTATTATATTTATCTATGTTCCTAGAAATGATTAAAAAATATACATTCTTAACAATTATTTACAAATTTTAAAAGATTATATGAATAATATAATATTCAATATTCATTGGAAATTCTTCATATTTTTAGAATTAATATTTTTGTAATTCAAATTTCTTTTGAATTCACTGGTACTATAGTGTAACTAGAATTACTTAAATATAACGAAATATTACACAATAGTAGGAAATATAATTTACAAATATTTTATAATCTATTTATAAGATGAAAGATGAACCATTATTAACAGTTATGTTAAATTTATGTATTTAGTTTGTATTTGGTCTATTAAATCTGTATATAATGAAACTGTAAAATGATTACCATTGTCTTGTACAAAATCAAATTAATCACTCTATCTTATACATCGCTATTGTTCACATGCAATAGACATTTTCTAAATATAAAACAGCATTCTGGGCATAGCACAGTATATTTATAATCAATTAAATTAATCACTGTTTTTATCAACATTAATCAGTGGATGATTAATTGGATTATATAAAGGATCACCATCTGTTGCCATTTTACCCAACCATGAAAATAGCATTATTATACAAATAAATATACCAATTCCAATAATTATTAAAATTGCATATCGTTTATGCAGTAATCCTACAGTATTTCTTTTATGAATTCGAGTTTTTGTTATTAATTTTCGCCACCTAAAAAACCATTCTATCGCTGATTTTCTTTGATATTTATTTTCATCGTGATCAAATGAATAATCTTTAGGATCGTCATATGCTTCAAAAATTTTTCTTGGTGAAGGATTGGTTATAGCTAAATTAGATTCCATATTTATAATAGAATATGGCGGACCAATTTTCTGATTATTAGAGTGTATATTATTGGAAATAGAATGTGATAAAGTCACAGTGCCACTTGCTCTAGAAGTGGCCAATGTTGACATTGTATGATTTTGATGTACAGGTGATTGAGTTTTCTCTAATACCACAATATTAGCTTCATCTAACTTTTCTTCCTTTTCAAAACTTAGCTATAAGAAAATATCTTAATAAATTAAAAAATATTTTTAATAAATATAAGTGTATTTTCTATAAATAGTCATTAAATACCAAAGGTAGTCCTTGGGCAGACCTTCCCCAATTTACTCCTATAAGCTTTTCTCTTAAAACATCAGCTACTGGAGATACCAAATTTGATTGTGGAATAATACGTGAATTACATGTTGGGCATGTAGGATTATCTGATTCTTGTAATCTTCTACAGTAAGAGTCAAGACATGCCCAATGATAGACATGATAACAAGTTAGTCGACAACATTCTCTAATATTTAAATTTTCTTTGCAAAATGTACAAATTGGATTGCAATCACTGTCTTGAAGCCATTGCAAATATGATTGAATAACGCACTAAAAATAAAATATGTTATTTTATAGTATATTTATATTATAAAATTTTATATTATATTTATATTATAAAAAATATAATATCACAACATTAAATTAAAAATTAATAATTTATGGTAAATGCGAAAAAGATAGGTAATGCTCAATAACAAGTTAAAATAGAAATATTATATACACAATATTTAACATAATCTTAGTTATATATAATAATTAAAATTAAATTATTTTAGTATATGATACGAAATCTATTAATAATATAACCCAATGCATAACGGTATCTTACTTTTGGATGATTTGTAACCATGCAATTTTCGCAAACATTTACACGATGTTCGAAACAAAATTGATTCGTGACTTTTCTTTTTGGGCATTTGCAGAGTCCCATATTTTCACTTTCACTTATAGTGTATTTTATAATATAACTATCTTAATTGCACAATAGCTGAGTAGGAACAAAATAAAGAAAAAATTAGATTCCCGTTTCATATGACAGTCTTTTGTTTCTTGTTGGAATAATTATCATAAACTTTTTTAATGCAATATCCCATATTCTATTTGTGGCATACAATAAAAGCCACGTTGCTCGCTTAAGTTTCTCACAAGATCTAATGGAAAGCTCCAATAAGATTGAATAATTCAATATAATTAATTATGAATTGTATGTTAAAGAAACAAAAGTAATAAATTATACAGATTAGTATATTCTATAATATAGTTCTAATTAATTATGTAAAGTGACTGATCAAATGTATATAAAAGTATATAGCATACTTGTGAAAGCATAGTCATTTTCAAATTTTAGGTTATGTTCAGTTTTCCACTCTTGTAAGGTGTAATAAATCATGACAATTTCTCAATTAAGTATAAGTTTACAAAAACATTTATTTTTATTTAATCTTGATAGAAAATTTTCATTATCTGCATCAAGAAATATAAAAGAAAGTTAGTTATAAATGTATTATAAAAATATTGCTTATAATTATTTTTTTTAAGATATTTAAATATCCCTGGTAATGAGCTGGAAATTGTAATTATAATTTGTAATAATTTTAGTTATAGAGAAAAAACAAGGAAATACAACAATTGTAGATGCAGTTATAAAATCCCACCCCAAACAACACTTATTGTTAAAACAGAGTGATAATGGAGCATGTTGTCTGTGTTCTACAAATGTTAACATCAAACACACAGTCAGTATATATTTTTCAATAAAATTAATTAAAAAATATACCAATTTAATTGAATTAATTGCTTCTTTAGGATGTTCTAATTCTAAGCCAATTCGTAAAATCAAATGGCCAAATACTACCTCGATATGTAACTGGCTTATGCTACGTCCAACAAAAACGAATTGGTATTTTAATTACAATGGCTCAAAAAGCTGGTTTGTAATCCTATATATGTATTAACTTATGTATATAGTTTGGAACTAAATTATAATCATAATTATTTAATTAAATTTTTTATTGAAAGTACCACCTATTAAAATTATATTTATTGCAATTTATTAATGTAATTTTATATTTTAAAATAATGTCTTTATCGCATGTCATTATGCAAAAATTATTAGTAATTATTAATATCGTATTTTGTAATTAAAAATTTTTAAATTATCACTATAATAAATAATAAAAAAAAAATATATATATTTTTATCAATTTTATTTTAGGTTTAATGCCAAATCTTGGACCTGCCAACTCAAAAAAAAATCCAAAGACAAGATATCAGTATAAAAGATTTAATACATATTATGATGAAACATCAATTAAACAAAATTATTATTGAATGAAAATATTAATTATAAATCTAATTTCATAAATTCTTTGTCTTATTATTATATGCAAAAAAACTATTGCCTTAGCTATATCAGTAAAATCGTTTTTTGAAGACAAGAGTAGAAAACTGAAAATAAATAAAGTTACTTTTTATAAATTTAATTCCCACAAAATTATTTGCAATGTAAACAAAAAGTATAAACAAAAATGTATATGAATTATATTAATGTAAAAATTTATTAAAAAATAATGTATATTAAAACATAAATGTGAACTTAACAAATATACAAATATTTATAAATAACATAACAATTATAAAACAAGTAAAATATAAATATTTGTTATAATATTTGAAAACAAGTTTGGTTTTTATAATGTATTTACAAATCTAAATGCAAAATAATACTCATAAAAAAGTGTACTTTATTGATTTTATTTTTTAAATGTTTTAAAATTAGTAGTAGTGTACAATTAATTTCTAAAAATGAAAATATATTTTTAGTTTGTATTCGATTCAACATTTTTTAAGAGGTTAAATATATACATCTGTCATTAATTTTTGCCAACAAAATTCTTCGTATGAATTTTTTCTAAAAAATTGGAACTTAATTTTTAATCTTTGTTTTTTTTTCGTTTAAACAGTATTTGATAGATTAATTAAAAATTTAAAGAGAGAAAATTATCGTTATATTTTTAAATATTTATAATTATTTATTATAAAGAAACAATGAAACTTCCTATAATAAAAAATACAATTTTTTACTTATGATTTATATATGACTGTATATACTTATCTGAAGAGCCAATTTACTCGTTAATAAGTAAAGTAATACACATTCTTACATTATTGATAATTTACTCATAAAATACATTTTCAACTTGGCGTCTTATGGCTTTGAAAGATTTGCTAAAATTTAGCATCAATTGGAAATGAAATGTTTTATACGTTGCCCAATGAATACCAAAGATTTGTAAAATAATAAGAAATATTATACACTTAAATATAACAGTAATTCTTATTTTGTGATTTTTTTAAAATATGAAATAATACAAATTTGCATTAATTACAATTAAGGAAATAAGAATTTCAAATACAGTTTATTTTAAGCATAATTAAACAAGATTTTTTTATTATTATAATTAGTACTTAACTATATTTGCAAATCAATATTTAATCATACTGAGATATATTTCTAAACAATTTAAATTATCAAATGATTTATTATGTAAATGTCATTAAATAATACTTTGTTTTGGTATTGAAAGTAAACAATATTTTTAAATATCAGAAATTAATTGGTCGTTAATAAAAATTACGCAGTGAACATTATTGATTGATATATTATTTAATAGATTACAAATAAATTTGTATAAAAAAATATTTTTGGTATCAGCATGTTAAGAAATTTAATTATAAGTTTGTTTAATTTTAATTAATTATAAATTGAAGGTAAAACTTATTTGTTATATGTAAGATTTGTAAATTTAAAAATTGTAAAAACCTGCACTCTCATGTGATTTCGTAATTTAATTATCAACTTGTACATTTCTAAAAAAAAAAAATTATAAATTATGAAGTTTTTTTCTTTTTCGTAAAATAAAAATCTTCTAAATAAGAATATTCTTTTATTAATTTAAAAAAAAAATTAATATCAGTATTTATTAGATAATTATTTTCACAACTATATGGTAGTGACTATATTTAAGATTGAAAGTATACTTCTTGGATATTTTAGTTATATTAGAGAACATTGATTTCATATCTATTATTGTTTCTGATTAAATTTTATAATGTTTAAGTAGAATCTGATTTTACTTAAATTCAAATTTTTAATTCTAATTTTAAATTGAATTTTTTCTTATAATTTATAAATTATATTTTTTTATATTATATTATTCATTAGATTATAAATTTTATTAAAATCTCTTTTCTAGCAATTTTTAATTTAACAAATTGTAATTAATAAAAAAAAAATATTAAAAAATTAATTACTTTTTCGTATACATAATTGAAGTTATTTTTAAGCTGTCGTATCAATATCACTAAACTGAATTTGTATTATAACTAATTATGTACAAGAATGTTATCAATAATTATACAGTGTATTTTACATATTATTTATTGAGTATAAAAGTATAGTATTTTACAGGAACAACTAATTTAAAAAATTATAGTTTCAGATAATTATAAGGAAGGTTAGTATAACAAGATGTTTCGAAACACTATAAAATTTGTTTTTTTTAAATTACAAAAGCGTGCACTACATCAAAATCAAAATTCTGTTAAGATAGAAAATGAAAAATGTGATATTGAGAAAATACGGAACATCGGTATTCTGGCGCACATAGATGCTGGTTTGTATTTACTTTAGAATTAAAAACTGTTAATATTTAAAACTTAATATTTGAATCAAAATATAGGTAAAATATATCTGTTTTGCTTTGTTAAAATATAAAAATTATGTATCAATAAAGTCGTCTGAAATCGTATAAGCATTAATATATGTTTTACTAAGTTGTAAAATAAATAAATAATATTCATTGTTTAATCATATTTATTGTTTAATACAATTAATTGTTAACATTAAATCTAGGCAAAACAACAACAACAGAGCGTATGTTATATTATTCAGGCACTGTAAAACAAATGGGAGAGGTACATGACGGAAATACTGTTACTGATTATATGGATCAAGAACGTCAACGGGGAATAACGATCTGTTCTGCAGCAGTTTCATTTAATTGGAAAACTTTTCGATTTAATTTACTAGATACTCCGGGCCATATTGATTTTACTATGGCTGTTGAGCAACCCCTTACTGTGGTAGATGGAGTTATTATTATTCTTGATGGTAGTGCTGGAGTTGAAGCACAAACAAGTACTGTTTGGCGACAAGCTGATAGATATAATATACCAAGAATTGTTTATGTAAATAAAATGGATAAAGCAAATGCAAATTTTGAAATGTGTTTAAAATCTTTGGAAGCAAAGCTAAATGTGACTATATTTCCAGTACATATACCATTTACAAATGAAAAAGGTTTTGCAGGAATTATTGATCTTATTACTCTTGAAAAGTATGTCTTTGATTCCAAAACCCAAGGAAAAACGATAACAAAATTGCACCTCAGTGAAAATCAAAATCCAGATTTATTACAAAAAGCATTAGAAAAACGTAGAAATCTCATAGACAAGTTGAGTGATTTTGATAATAATCTTGCCAATATAATTATTGAGCAAGAATCATTAGATAACATTTCATCACAAATTTTAGTAGATTCTTTACGTAAAGCTACAATATTAAGAAAAGGAGTGCCTGTATTATTAGGTAGTTCATATAAAAATATTGGAGTTCAAAATTTAATGAATGGAGTTGTATTGTATTTACCTAATCCAATTATTAATAAGAGTAGAAGTCTTTACAAATGTTTTAATGATGAATTGTTAGCTAAAGTATTTAAAATTATTCATGACAAACAAAAAGGTCCTATTTATTTTTTTAGAGTTTATTCAGGAACTTTGAAAAGAAAGCAATCAATTTATAATATACAAAAGGAAAAAATGGAGAATTGTATTAAATTATATAATGTTTATGCAGATAATTATGAAGAAACGTTAGAAATTACATCAGGAAATATTGGTGCTTTAACTGGCTTCAAAATTACCGAAATAGGTAACTTATTAACGAGTAGTGTTATTAGTGTTAATAATGCTAAAGAAAATATGGTAAAAAATTTCTATAATAACGAAGAGATTGAGAAACTATTTTCTGTTAAAAGAAACATACCAGATCCAGTTTTTTTTTGTTCAATAGAAGCACCATCTAATATGTATATGCCTGCTTTAGAAATAGCTCTACAAGAATTAACAAAAGAAGATCCTAGTTTACGGGTAACTCATAATTCTGAAACTGATCAAATAATTATGTCAGGTATGGGTGAACTACATATTGAAATAATCAAGGAAAGAATTCATAGTGAATATAAAATTAATGCAGACATAGGAGAATTACAGATTGCATATAAAGAAACTATCACTAATTCAATTGAAGATACATATATTCTTAATCATGAAATTAATCTAGTGAAGCAAGAAGTATTAGTAGGCCTTTCACTTATTCCAAATCATTACAGTAATAATAAATTACTTTTAAATCATTCAAAAGAAAACGAAAAAAATACATCAATATTAAATATAACTCTTATAAATTTAGTTAAAAAAGGAATTTTATCTGCTTTAATGAGAGGACCAAAATTAGGTTATCCAGTTCTAAATACTGGTGTAAAACTAAATCAGTTACAAGTTAGAAAAGGAACTTCAAACTCAGTTGTAATTGCTGCTGTTGCTCAAGGTGTAAAAAAAGTAAGTTATACTTGTAAATAAAGATTGTTTTGTTTCGAGAAGTCTAAAAATATCTTCTGATTTTTATTTACAGTTGTTATATGGTTCCATTTTTATAGATACATAAATTTATTTTACACATCAAATTTAAATTTTCAATTTTATTTGAATTTATGATTTTTCATTTTTTTCCTGTATATACTTTTCTTTCTTTAACCTCAGGATATCTATACATACAAATTTTATACATAGAATTTTTAAATTCTCCTTTATTAACTAATTTAGATACTTGTACTTTATTTTTTTCTTCTTTCTTTTCTTCAAAAGACATTTTTGTAAATAAATGGTTTTCATGGCTTTTAAAGTTGTTTTTTATTTCAGTAATATTTAATAAACTTGAATCTGAACTACTTGCACTTTTATTAAGTTTGTTACAATCAGGAATGACGTATGGTTTAATTTTGGCCTTTCGTTTAAAATCAAGAAAATCTTTGAGTGGCTTTGATGATTGTTTAGCAAAATATTCTTCTACTATTTCATCTGATTTAGTTTGTAAATGTTTCAAAAATAATTTATTAAATCCGACTGCAGGACGTATAGAACTATCACATAATGTAAGAAGCTTTCCAGGTATTCTTCTTGTTTGTGTTGCTCTATCCACTGTTTTTATACCCCATTTTAACATATACAAGTCCAGAAAACCATGATACAATCCTAATGTCATTTCATTGTCATCATAGTGCTTATCCATGAAATAAATTCTTCGAATTCGACAACTGGCATATATTTTTAGCTTACACACAGCATTAAATTGAGTATCAAAAATCCTTGCCACATGACAGAGATCTATTTCAAGCTTATTCCACCCTGGTTCCAACATTAAATGCATCCTTGGTGTTATAGATTTATTGCTACTTTTCTTTCCATCAGTATTTGAGAAATCAATAAGATACCTTATATTATTTTTATCCATCATTTGAAGTTGAAAATGGCATTGTGTGTGTGTACTTTTTAATATAATTATGAGAAAGGGTAATTTAATATTAAGAACTTGATGTATATCAGGTGGGCACATAATCCAGGTTTTTTGACCATTTGGATCTTCGATATCTTGTATTTCCAAAACCTTTAACAAATTTGATTGTAAAATTTTATTCACGTTACTAACATTTATTATAACACAAACACGAATATTTGGAATTAAGATTTCAAAATCAATTCTTTTAAAGAAACAAATTAACTTTCATTCTACTATATTATTTTATTATTTTTACTGATTTATTTATATTAAAACATTATTAAAATAAATCTGATAACCTACATTTTCATTTAATTCTTCGTCTAATACTCTTCTAATCGATCCAGATCTAGATTTTTGTTTGCTCCAGTATTCCAATGGTTTGTCACTAATACTGTAAAACAATGATAAATATCCACCTTGCATTCGCTCTATCTTTAAAAACTTTTAAATTTAAAATTCATTTTTTGAAAATTTTGATATAAAAATAAAAATTAAACTTTGAGAAAAAAAACAAATTCTATTAGTCAATTGTTATAAATATAAAATTTCAGGGCAGTAAATATCAGTGTGATTCCTTTTTTTTAATATTTAAAATAAATATAAAATATTGATAAAAAGAAAAAATAAATATTTGAATTTCAATTTATATTAAGTTATTAATTAAATATAATATATTTTTGTGTAGCTAATGCAGAAGAGTGATTGTATTTTATTAGAACCAATCATGAATGTAGAAATAATAGCATTGAATGAAATGTCTTTGAAGATTAAAGCAGATTTATTTAAAAGAAGAGCAGAAATTAAAGGCACAGAAATAAAGAATAATATTAAAATAATTCATTGTTCTATTCCATTAGCAGAATTACTAGGATATTCGAATCAACTTAGAAAAATAACATCTGGAACTGCTACATTTTCAATGGAATTTAGTCATTACCAGGAAATGAATTTAATTGAAGAAGAAAATGCTATAAGGAAAATAACTGGAATGCGTTAAGGAATGAAAGTTATAATTTTATTGAATAGAAATGTTCATAAACTAATTATGTTTATAAATGTTTTTAAAAACAATGTTAAATTATTTATGTGATTACTTCAACCAATTACTGTTTAGTAGATGTATATAATTTTATAATTATTTAATGACAAATATAAAAGTAAATTAAAAAATATAAAATATTTTATTTTCCAACATATAATTAATTACTTAGGATATGTTTATTTTTAGTTTTATAATAATGGTCATCAATAATTCAAGGAACTAATTGAAAGGGATACAGATATAAATCAAAATTAATTTGTTTTTATAATTTCAAGTTCATTTATTGGTTGCTTGAATTAAACAAAATATATTGCATTATCAAAAGGGTCTTATAATTTTAATATAGAATCAATTTTGCAGTCAAATACTGTGAAGCTCGATGCCCTATAAATCTACACAGAAAAAAGCATTTGTTATTATTACTACTGACAAGCTCTTTGACGTTTCCTGGATAATTAAACAGTGCTTTGAGCGGGTCATCATTGCAACACGAATATTTCGATGCATAATTTTGGATATGCACGTATAAATAAACTTCATACATTCATATGTATACTTACTATATTCATGCGCAAACATGCATGCATATATATATATATATATATATATATATATATATATATATGCATATATATTAGTATGGAGGGATTAACCGTTACATAATATTAATCGAAGCAGCCGAACACTTTTGCCGCGTTTTATGATAAAAAAATAATCGAAACAAGATAAAGAGTCAACGGACATACACGCGCATGCGCGTATTATTTGTAAAAGTATGTTCATGGAAAATATATCTTATTTTAATTAGAAATTGCACGTAAAGAAATAAACAAATAACTTTCTTTTGACATAAAAAAGATTCGTCGGTTTACTCGACCGTCAAGAATTTTTTTTATTTGTTTTTACTTTCTACAGCTTATATTTTAAAATATATTGAGCTAAATTTGTCTTTAAAAATCTATTATTTCATCGCTTTTTAAAGTTTAAAAATATAAAAATTCACTTCATAAAAATATCAATTGATATAACTAGTTCATTTCAATGCTCATTTAATAATATCATTATTAAATTATGTTTAATGTTATTTTATTCGTTATCACCTTGCATAAAGTTTATCGCACCTTCTTTATCTGAGGCCTCACTTAAACTCCATACGAAATAGCCTAATTTCTCATGAATGAAGCGTTGTACGAAGCACCTAGTCGTTTAAAATCTTACGACCTCAATATAGAAGAGAAACGGTATCGACAAAAATCAGCACGTACAACACAGCAAAATATATTCACGTCACTAATTTTCCCTATACCCTTTTATATATAAAATCTCCAAATTTACAATTTTTTACGTCCAGTCGCTTTTATTCACATTCAAAAATTCAATACTGAAAAACTGATACATTTACAATTATCCAATTTCCAATAATTACAAGAAAAATATTTTCCTTTCCTCAAAAACAATAGTTAAGCAAACAACAAAAAAGAAAAGAAAAAAAATGAAGACACTCGTGTCGTATGAAATTTTCGAGTCTGCTTGACTCATAGCTCAGTTCCGTCCGTTGGTTCACGACCTGGGAAATTTTTCCCATGCGTGTCTACAAATACACAAATATGGTAACGAGTGTGTCCAATGGTTGCTCAGAGGCTTGTTGAGGTGGTGACGCCTGTCCCTTCATTCAGGCTCGCCTTCAGCCGGCTCAAATTCAATGGTCTCAACTAACCCAAAGTCTTCCTGGCGTCACAAGCTTACGAGCTTGGGCGGATTGGTATCTGGCGAACTCAAATCTACGGCTGAAAGATGATGATGGTGGTGATGATGGTGATGATGGTGAGCAACTCCAGCACCATTGCTCCTTTGTTGACTTGAACATGAAGGCACGAGGGGCGTGGAGACTGGCGTAAGACCCGTTCCACCCTCCATTAGAGAGTCAAAATTGAAAGGTATGCCGCTCGACGGTGTGGTAATAGGTATGCCTGCAACCTCGTTAGCCGTCTTCATAAAGGTCGGCGTCTCTATGCTCTTGAACTGGAGACTCGAGGGTCGAGGTTTGGGCTCGGTAAAAATCGGTAAGGAATTCGGCCGCTGATTATTGTTATCAAAACCTACGGATAGAGAGTTCGGTCGATTGGGTCGCAGTCCATTCAAACTATCGTCATGTTGCTGCTGTTGTTGCTGTTGCTGTTGCTGTTGCTGTTGCTGCTTAGTGATGCAAGGAATTTCGGCGAACTCCTCAGATTGAAGATTATTGTTATTGTTCGGTGGCTTATTGTTAAGAATGATGGGCTTGATATCAGGAGGTGAAGAAGACTGAAGGCGACACACGGCGCGATGAGCTTCCAGCATAAATTCAAGTTCATCTTTCGCCTGTTGCAGCTGGTGAATCTCATCTTGCAGGCTCTGTTTTTTCTGTTCTAAGCCCTCGGTTTCCTAAAATACATGTCTATTTGTAAGTTATTTTCGAAATGGTTAAGTAATAGGAAACAGTATTTTTCGACATTGATTAAACATAATTGATATGATTAGCAAAAATGATATTATAATCGACTAACTATTGATTTTTTAAACTATAATTATATTTTTATTTTATTTACGTATTTCAATTCAATTTCATTAGATGTGTAAAATTTATTTATTGTTGCTTTAAACTTCTCAAATTTAGCTGCTGATAAAATCTTCATGAAATTCTAATCTTATCTATCATTGAAACATTTACCATCAGCCTTATATAACAGTAAATAATTTTTGATCATGTTAAGATGAATTTGTGAATGTTTTATTTGTATACGGAATTTTAACAATCACTTAAACTTCAAATAAAGCTGGGTAAAGGAAAAACCAATGAAAATAAAACTGGAATTAAATGAATCAAAATAAAATGTTCAAATATATAATATAATCAAGTAAACAAACATTCATACAATTAAATAATTTTATTACTTATAAAAATTGTTTATTTATTTTTAATTTTTCAAGAAAACACCTTATTACGTGTTTTTAGTCAGTCCTATACCCACAAGCATTTATATTTAAAAGGAAACATTATTAAATCTATCTAAATTATGTAAACATTTATTGAAAATTACAATGCTCATTTTTCAATAAAATTCTAAATGGTATTATTCAAAAAATTTTGAATGGCATCACACATTAATATTAAAGTTGGTATTATATATTATATATGTTCAACATATATTTTACAGTTTCAGTTTCAGTTTACGTGATATTATGCAAATTAGATAGCACGTGCTTATATCAATATCAAGCAAATATTACTATTGTTCTATGTTAATCACATTAGTATTTAAAAAGTTAATTAAGTTCTTAAAAACAACAAAAGAAAAAAAGAAAGCAATTTATATAAGTTTGAAAAAATTAAAATAATAGAATTTCTATTGTTTAGCTGAATTCTTTTTTTATTTCAAATTTTTAATTTCATTTTAATGGCTAACACAATAAATCAAAGCACATGGTCTCAATACATGTACTTAATCATTCATATTTTTCATAATAATACCTTGAATTAACAATTTATCGTATTTTAATAAATTTTTTCGTCATATCTTAGTTATTTTCTTTTCCTTTTTTCTTCAACTAACGATTAAAATAAATATCAGAAATTGATGATAATACTTTAACATAATTAAAACATTTGAACCTTTATGTTCTCGATGTCACGTAGTACCCAACAATAAATCACAGTCCCATAATGTCGTGGAACAAGAGCTTGAGAGCATCTGCATCTTTTAAGACAGAGGCCTATGATTTTTTTGTACACATATGTGGATATATTAACTTCATTATAGCCTCATATATACATGATATTTTCAAATTAAATGAGAATTAGGTTTTTTGTTTGTACCTCTAGTAGAGCATTGGTATGATCCATTCTTCTTTTGCGGCACCTTGCTGCAGCCATCTTATTGCGCTCCCTGCGAATTTGCCTTCTCTCTTCTTCTTCAGGGCTCATACCAATCGTCCTTGTCGGTCTCCTGCCACCCATATTACGTCTTGTCTGTTGGAGCGGCTGTTGTTGCTGGGGTTGTGTCTGCTGCACGCTTAATAATCCGTTATTATGCTGCTGTTGTTCAGGTTCGTGCTGCTGTTGCTGAATCTCGTGTTGTTGCTGGCTTGCGTTGTTCTGAGTTTGAGCCGGAGTAGGTTGAGAAGGCTCGATCAAGGGTGGTACAAAGCCCGCCTCGCGACTGTGTGACGCTGATTCACTCGTGAACTCCAAAAACGTCTGTTCGATCGTGCGCAGTGTGGTTGGCGTCAGGGTCGGTGTCGTGCGGGTTGGCACACCGCTGTGTAGTCCATCCAAGGACGACACCAACTGTCAAACAAAAAGAAAGCAAATTTTTAGATAAGCAGCACGATTTTGCAGCTTTATTTCTCTTTAACGTTCATTCGACGACTGCAATGTTTTTGAAAATATTCTAACGATATCGCTCGACTATATTTGCCTTACCATGAATTATTCGCTTGAATATTTTCTACTTGAGCGAGATAACGAAGGAGAAATATTCAATAAGCCATTATTGAGGCAAATGTAGAATAACGATAGTTTCGGAATTCATCTCATTCCAACCGTAATGTATGGATATTTAATTGGCACTTAATGGAGAATCATCCATATGACATGAAAATGTATATCGATAGTTTCTTTGAAACCAAAATTGGTAAAGACTTGAGAAACTATAACCTGGCTGACAAAAATCTCTAAGGATTACCAGAAATAAAAGTAATATTGGTAACATAAATGAAATGACAATTGCTTTCAGCTTTATTTTTTATTATTATTCGAAAAGGTTTTTAGAGGCAGATACTTGATTTCTTTAAGAACACGATATTATCAGTCAAATATAAATACGGTTATAAATATTTTACGGTTATAATTTTTTCTTAATGAAAAATCTCACACAGTGTTCGGGACTGTACTTTTGTACGGGAATGTACATAATAAAAAAATTTCTAATCCATGCCCTACTTTTTTCAAAACAAAAAGTGCATGTGCCGCATAAAACAATCTAAATGGTTTCGTAAACAATTGTAGATTATATGATGTGATACGCACGAAGAAAAACAACAGATTATGAGCGAACAAAAAAGTTCAAACTAAGAAAACTCAAAAACACATATGACTTGCAGATCCATAGACGAGTTATATTTACTAATTAAACAATATTGTCTATCAATGGATTGATGTAATAATAATAAAGTACATCATGTAATAGAACTGAACTTGAAATAAAAATCGCCGCAGATGATACTTGAACAATTATTACGAATATAAATATGTAAAATTAACTACAGCCGTTCTTCAAACTTGATTAATACATAACTATTTAACATATAATAAATTCTAACATATATACTAAAAATTATCATACAAAGATCGATTGTATACTTAATCGTTATACTTTTTCATTCTTACTTTACATTATAAATTATAAAGCTTGTAAAATATTATGTGTAAATTTATAAAATTAATTTTTTTAAATAATATTGATAATATCTTCATGTGAATAAAATTTCTGTTTGAATTAATTCGTAATTAGCTATTTTAGTACATTCATAATTTTTCATTGATATTAATGAATCGATAAAAATATCTGTGATCTAAAACTGATAAGAGATCTTATCGTTTCAAATTATTGTACTCATACAATATATGACTCATTTTAATATAAGTTGTTATTTATATAATCGGTTCTTTTCTATAAATTCCTGTATAGATCTGATCGATAATACAGTCTTCTATTTCTTTTCCTTTAAAGTAATTATCTAGTATACTATACAAGTTCTAATTCTAAATCTATATAATTAAACATATACAATATAGTTTTATATCAAAACAACATATAAGAATAAATTCAGAATACATATAAGAATTCAGAGTAATTAACTTGAAGGGCGTAAACGAGTTTAATTAATAAAACAGAAGAAAATTTTTCTAATATGTATAAGGTTTAAATAATTATTATCCACATAGTTTCAGTAATTTCATTGAATGTATAAATTGCTGTGCTAATTGAAAAATGTGTTAATACGATTTATATATGGGATATATTAGCAACGACAAAATCACCTCTTTTACCAAATCTTGAACGCGAAGAAGTTCCAAAGTTAGCTACAATAGTGGCGACATCGAGTGTTGGTCTGGATCATTATTAAAATTGTTAACATTCATTTCTGGTGTATGATGAAAGCCATAATAAAATACAAATATGTGATCATCCAACTTCACTTTAAAGGTGGTTAAAGATATGAGAGAATTTATAAAAAAAAAAAAAATTAGCTTAACTCACAAGAATAATGTCGGTTTACGACTAAAATAATGTATAACAAGGATATCGCATTCCAGAAAATTAATATTTACGGTAAAAAATATATCATGTTCGTAATCATTGATAATTTAGTCTGGCGATTAATTTGATTAATTGGAAAAGATAATTATGGCTTTTTTATCAATTGTCCATAAAATTACTATTTTCCTAAATCCACTAATTTTAAGTTTTAATAAAGATAAATATCTTTAGATTAAAAATAAAAACAAAACTTGTTCAAACAACTACCCTACACATACGGCGTTACAGGAAATTCATTTGTAATTTAAGTTTTCAGCATAGTATCAATTGAAAACTAAAATCATGAAATTGAGCAATAAAATAATATTCGTGATTTTATATTACTGCATTAGAATTTCAATCTCCGTCAAGAAATTTATTTCGGAGCTCAAAATATCGACATGAAATAGAAAATAATCTGAATCAAGAGGACTAAGAGACGAAGTCGCAGGTCAATCTTTGTTGATAAAAACAAGAAACCAGGAAAATATAAAGAAGATCTCATTGTCGGTGTGGCATCTATTTCTTATTTCGAATGAAATATATAAAATAAAATATAAGCAATAAATATGGGGAAAAGAGAAAACACGTACGATGAAGCGGTAATGAGCATTATTGCTCATGTATGCACATGCGCATATATGTAAAATAATAGGAAGAATAGATTAAAAAAACTGTTTTCAGTGTCTGTAAAATGTCAAAAATGTTAGATAAGATAAATAACGATACCCGCACTCAATGATATCAACAGTACAAGTGTACGTTTTATTTTAATTAAACTTACGTGCTCAATATTTCCATATCATCCCTTCTCATTCGGCATCGTTCCAAAGGAATTAATTCGATTCTCATTATAAAAGACACGGCGATACTCATGTGCATTCGTACTTACTTATAAGCCAGCACCGCCGACAGGAACTATTTTATAATCACCCACACATCGTTTTCAACTCTAGCAATACTCACGAAAATTCATACTATCGCATGATACTATGGTCACGAACACTTTTACGAATTCGTCGCCGCGAGTTCTAACGCTTTCGGTTCAATCATTATATAGTGTTTTTATGAACTCTCAAGTAGTTTACGTCGCTGTATTATCTATTTCTCCTGCTTCTACTTTACTGATGGAATGGAATTTAAAAATTCTATCTTTATCACTATCTTTATCTATCTGGCTTAAAAATATGTAATTAATCCTACATTATAAATTTTATCTTCTTAAAATCTAATAATTTACGGTACAGTACATGACTTTTTAATTCACTTTAATATAATAATTTGTTAAGTATTTCATGGCTTTGTTAACATATTGTTTTGAAAAATAACGAACGAGTTTTCCTTTACTCGTAGATATATATATATATATATATATATATATATATATATACAAATAAATCAACACACAAGCTTCCAACTTATAATACGTATGGGGTGTGGGCGTATACGTGCGTGCGTGTGCATGTTTATGTATATATTTATGTTACTTGGTTAGAACAACTATTCACGGGCCTCGCGTTAAAAACTTACCGATTAAAAGTTTCCTCGTCCGTTGTATTCCATTCGAGCGATCATGCGTCGCAATAATGGTCTATTCAAGTACCGCAAGATCTTTCTTTTGGTTGGAGTCAAAAGGACGAAAAGCTTAAGAACCAAAAAGAATCAAAAAGTTTTATACTACTGCCTAAAAGCCTTTTGCTATTAACTTATGAGCTTGTGAGAATATACTATACCGAATACTTATTGTTTCTTTATTGAATTTCTGAAAAGACGGAGAGAAACACGGAAATAACATCTTGTTCCTCGACCTACCTGCTATATTCATAACGAGAAGCAACATATAATAGAATTGGTACATCGAGAAAAATTAACAACCAGTGAAATAGAATGAATAAACAACTTGCCTATATCTTATATTGATTATTGTTATGGCACTCCATATGAATGGCTCTCTTTTTGTCCTAGATAGTGAATTCGGCAAGATGCTGTACCGGCACATGTGAAAATTAATGTTATGTAACGGCCGTGTATACAATAGGTCGACTATCTGTAAACATATGGACTAGGGTAATAATAGTCGCGTGCGTACAATGATACGCAGCACAATTTTGCTTTTTGAACCGGTGAATTACTACGGTGATGGTGGATCTTACCTCACTCTCCTCTCACTATAAGTACGGCATTTATAATGATTCGTAATCTTTTCAGATACTACGTATAAATCAATTGCAATTAAATCTGTGCGACGAAACACGTGCATAATGCTGCAATTACCGTATGAATAAATGGCACTGGGAAAAAAAGTCTACGAGGAACTTTATCGGAGCCTACTTTTCTTCGAAAGGTATAATTATGTCATTTGTGCAGAAAATGATCATTTTTACCTTAATCTTACAAGAATTATATTCGTTGTCCATTTTGCAAAGATTGCATGCACTAGTATCTATTGTGAAGTTTTTTTCGATTACTCAATTTCCAGAGTGATATAAACCATAGTGATGATAAATTCTCCGTATATTTATTTGACATTGAGAAGCTCCTACCTTTGCTTTTTCTTCTATTGATAAACACAAGCTATATATAAAGATACTTGATTTTTTTACCGAAATTATCAGGAATCATCGCAAAATTATAGGAGGAAATTACAAGCTTGAAACAAACTGTTGTACTATTTTTATTTAAAAATTAAAATTTTTATATTCATTAATTTTATCTTTGTGAAATGAATTAAACGGCAACGAAGAAGCGTTTATCGACCTTTTTGCAAAAATCAATTGTGCTTCTTCATTAACTCAATACTCACTGATTACAATCTATGGTTGAAAATCAAGAGGCATCAAACTGATAGGAAAAATTTAATCTACCGAACAGTTATGATAAGCATTTAATTTTTGAATGTCAATATTTGCACAATGATTAATCATAAAATCATATTCTAGAAAACAGACAAGGAACTTTAAAGAAAATAAAATCGACAATAGAGTTTATATATTTAATTAAGATAGAAATTAAGACAGATATGCTCGAATAACTAGAAGGATTGATCTGCGCGCAGGCGTAAAAATCAGATTCCGGTGTGAAAGATTATTTGCGTAATTATAATTCCAGAATTGGTTACTCGATGTTCATCTTGTTCTCAGTGTTGTCGGTACAATACAAGAACATATTACTATTAGTGTAAGAGCTCACATGTTCCCGAAGGATCGAAGACCTGTACGTATATTGGCATATGAACTTGCAAAAACATGTCGAAACAGGCACGGGCTATGCGTTTTGACACGCCTGAAGTGGCTGATAGGAGGGGAATATGTCGACACTCTT